AGAGAGAGACAGAGACAGAGAGAGAGAGAGAGAGAGAAGAGAGAGAGAAGAGAGAGGGAGGGAGAAATGGGGGAAGAAGGCAGGCTAGCTGCTTTAACTAGGTGGTGGTAGCACACGCCTGTAGTCCTGGGACTCTCAAGGCTGAGACAGACAGGGAGATAACATGTTTGAGGCCAGTCAAGACCCTGACTCAAAAGAGGAAAACAGAAAGGGAAGATGGGAAGGGAGGGGAGAGGGAGGAAGAGAGGAGAGAAAATGAGAGGAGAGGATGGGAGAGGAGGGAAAGGGAGGGGAGGGGAGGGGGGGGAGAGGGGGGGGGGAAAAAAGGAGAGGAGAGGAGAGGAGCCTCTCATTTGCTTGCAATTCCTGCTCGATGTCAACAGAGAAGACAAGCTGAAACTCCTAAACCTTTAAAACATTTTGTAACTTAGGATCCTTCCTATGGGAGGCCTTACCCTCTCCATGGGGCAGATAGGAGGAGGGGGAGGGGAGGGGAGGGGAGGAAAGAAAAAATCTTCCTTTCAGGGATGAATCCCTGGCCTGGCCTCTCCTCAGGCCAAATTCCTCCTCCATTTGGTGCTCCTGCTGCAGTCTGCAATATTTGCTCTTTTGAACAAATGTGAGCCAGTTCTCACTCCCCTCCAAATCTCTCCCCAGGAGTATTCTCCTTACTAATCTTTCCTTTAACCCCCTCTTCATGAGAGCTCCTTGCTTTCCTCTATCAAAACCAGATGTGTCACATTTGTTCTGTACAGGAAAGCAAAGATATTGTTCAAGTGAACTACCCAGGCCATGACATATAAAAGAATTTCAAACAATCATCCCAAAACATTAAGCGTTTGAAAGTTTAACCCGCAGGAATAGTTGTCTTTGAAGCCAGTCTTTCACCCTGGAGGCCGCTCCTGGCCTGGAACAGCTTTGGCCTGCTTCCAGGAGGTGCAACATGCTGACACCAAGCAAGACTCACTTGTCCATCCTGCCCTATGACCCGGGAATAGATCAAAGCAACTAACACAAAGCCTCTAAGGATAAGCCTCTACTCTATCCAGGTCAGATGCCAAAGTGTGATGAAACATGCAAGTTTTTATTAAGGAAGATATCTGTGTCAGCAAACAAGAGGAGAGATTGGGAAAGCTGCAAGAGTCATCAGCCCACAGTGCAAGGCCCATCCTCTGTGAAGAAGAAAGATCGAGTGCAAAGAGTGCAGACTGTTGTACAACGTAAGGGCTTGGGGGGGGGGCGCATGGAGCCGTCAAGTCATCAGAGAGGTCCAGAAGACTTGGTATTTCTGCCCTATGGATCCAAACAAAGCATCATAAAGACTGGCCATCCTACTGTGTGGGTGACAATTGTACTTCTGAAGCTTATCATATATGACTTAATTAGATATTAACTGTAAACACTACAGATTCTGGGGCAGGATTCTGTTTGCAATCACTGAGGGATTTCGTTGCTAATATCTCTGTAGCTGGAGCGCTGGCAGGTGGAAGGTGATGACTGTATAAAGACATCACTTTTTCTTGGTGTTGAGCTATATCAAGGCTCATCAACCTGTGTGACCTGGGTAAAATACTCAGAGCCATTGTATGTCATAAAGGCCTCTGTTTTGCTTAATTATATTTAGTTATAGCAGCCTGTCTTAAGACTGCCATCAAAGTAAATCCCTTCATCCAAGTCATGTGACCTGTATGGGCTCATTGGCTTTCACTCTCAAGCCATTACTATGGGAAGGTACACAGAATCACAAAATCCAAATCCTAAAATCCAAAACTAACATATCAATCAGTATTTTCCATCTCTACGCATCAGAGATGGAAATGAAGTTCAAGTTGTCAAGAAAAATTTTAAATGGCTTTAATATGACTGATATCAAAGAATAAAATTGTATTGATGCACATAACAATGAGTATTAAATTAACTATTACAGTATCTAAATAAGAATGGGAACTGCATTGTTATAAGACTGATAGTTTCACTAGTGCTAGAGTAAATAAAAGCAAGACTTTGAGAAGCCTCTGGGTTAAAAGAAAAAAAAATGTTCAAGTTACTTCTGAAATAAAGGACTAGAAATAAGGGAGAAATGAAGCTGGCAGGATGGCAAACGCTGTGTAGAAGTCAGTGACACTCGCCTATGACCTTATGAGTTTCGGTAATGTGATTAAACGTAAGTAGTTAATAGAAGTGGACTTTCTGAAAATTACAGAAGCTGAGCTCCAGATAATCATCACAGATGGTTGTGAACCACCATGGGGTTGTGGAGAATTGAACTCAGGACTTCTGGAAGAGCAGCCAGTGCCCTTTAACCTCTGAGCCATCTCTCCAATCTCTTAGAGGGGTTTCTTAAAGGAGTCTATTCCTCATACAAAGACCAGCTTAGGCTCCTGAATTCTTCATGATGCCATGGAAAAGCCTACACAACCCTCACAAGCAAGAGCGATTCCCTTCATTC